CATTTGCACAACTGGAAAGTCCTGGAAAAAGGCTTCTGGTCCTAGAAAGTTTTGAAAATCCTTTAGAATCAATTGAAAAATAAGAAATGTGTAGATGATGGTAAGGATAATTAACATTGACATGAAGCAAAAGGGTCAATGTGTATTTTCGATTCCTGGAAAAAATCAATGTTACTATTACAACAATAATGATAGTAATAAATTACTAGTATTATTATTATTATTAGCATTATAAGTATTATTTTTAGTAGTAGTAGTAGTAATAGTATTATTATTTCACTCTATGGCTCACAGGTCATGCTAGGCACCCTTTGTTGGTAGTTTAATTTTTAGCATACAATAGGCCTTGTGTTAGCTGAAGTGGTTGGCAGCATGTATTCTCTTATCAGAGAGATTTTACAACTCAGTTTTATAACTGTTCCAGGCTGTCTTGTGTATATTTGTGATTTCCATCGAGAACAAGCATGGGTGCAGTGGATTAACAACTCAAAGAATGGCATTAACAAAGACAAGAAAGACAACCTCCTGAACAGTTTGCGAAACCTTGCAAGAACTTCCACAGAAGGGGACTTCAATTTAGCACTTAGAGATCTTCAAGACAGTGAACTGTGGAGGACCAATACAAGACTCCAAAAGTGGATGAACACAACATGGCTTCCCGAAAGACAGGCAAGTGTATCCCTTACATACATTATAATAATTGTAGAATTATCCCTTATAAATTATCCAGCAACAATTCAAGATTTTTGGCTTAAAAATTACACACATCTTATTATGTTCACTTAAAATCCTTGTCGCTCTGACTTTAAACATCAAACAGGCCATCTCCTTGGATGATGTCATTTTGGGCCATTAATCATTCAGCATGAGTCTGAGATGGGTCCAAGATGCTCTTACAAGGAGATCCACAAGATGAAAATCAGATTACATGCAGTTTATATTCATGAAGTTTACTTGGACACTTTGTTTCTATTGGCAGCGCTGGGTTTGGACATACAGGAAGGACCGCTTCAATGTGAAAGTGAACACTACCAATGGTGTGGAAAGAAAGAATAGGACATATAAGCACCAATTTCTTGCAGACAATAGAGACAAGACCTTAAGTGGTGTCATCACAGTTTTAGTGACACAATTTCTGCCAAATGAGTACAGAAGGTAAGGGATCAAAAGCTCATTTTGACCTTAGATCTCAGTGTGTTATATATTGATATCACATGACTATGATTTTAGGCCTAAGGTGTTTTCAGAGAATGTAGATATATAAAAGTTTTTGTTCTACAAGTGAGAAGGATGTATAAAGGTGTCATGCTTACTCTGGGTCACACAAGGCGACCAAAGCATAACAAAAGCAACAACAACAATAGCACTGCAAACAACTGCAACTCATAATTTAGAATATTGTTTTATTTGTATTCATGGCAAAACCGAAAAAGTCACCACTTGAAACAGGTCCTCAATGCCAAAAAAAAAGTATGCTCATTTGCCGCTCCGATTGAGACTTAAAAGAAAAAACAG